ACTAGGATAACGAATAACAGGGAAATTCCATTCAGCTGCTTTGTCAAAGACACTCGTACGCAGGGAGCCGTCAGGGCGGACTTGGAGGCGTGCACCCAAGAATGTGCAAGAGCCATCAGGCGTTGTGGTCTCCTTCCATTCGAGGCCATAGTGCTCTGACGGTGGTGGCAGATGTCCCCATGAGAGAACATCATCGATCAAGCGGTATGTGAACACATACCGTTGAGCTGCGCGAAGATCACGCCGCTGGAGGTCATCGACAAATCGAGCCTCATCCCAATACAACGTCAAATTAGCTATCTCCGGACCAGAATTAGTCCCCATCGGGATGCCAATCAACTGATGTCGCAAGGTGTCGTCCGCTGCATAAAGATAAGTGTTTGTGACAATGAAATGGAGATGCTCAAGAATTTGGGAAACGGTCAAGGTGTTTGGTCCGGTATCAATCGTCCACTCCCCTTGACGAGGCCCTTTAGCAATCATGTTAAGGGTAGGAGGATGTGTGCGCCCCTGTGTGTGTTGTTGTAAGGCATATGCATAGGCTTCCTCGACCGCTTTTGAAACATTATGACAAATACGGTCATGAGGAAGATTGGTATACATAGTTGTGAAATCAACAGTGCGAGGAGCATGGTAACGAAGAGAAGAGGAGTTACGTTTGAGATCAAGCATCACCTCCTCGGCGCTTTGCACGATCCAGCACCGTCTCACACCGCTTTGCTGATACAACACATTATCCTTCTCACGGCGAGTTTCAATGACTCCTTGTAGTGCAACGCTGAGGCGGGCAGAAGTGACGGTAGTACTGGCCAAGGGTTTGTGGGGAGGTCGATGGTGGACTGCATGAACAGATGGCGCAGTTGATCGAGATCGTTGCAGCAAGGAGAGATTATTCCGCTCTGTGACGCCGACAATACTGCGAAGCCCAGGGGGCGATTTGTGTGCTTTAAGTGCATAGTACAGATATGGCAGCGCGTCTTTGTGTGTATATCCCCACCGATGATTCCAGAGCGCGTGATGTTCCAGAATATCTGCGACAGACTCAAGAGGCACATCATAGGTAGGGCTGTCCAAATGAGCAGATAGATGAGACAGGTACCAATTTTTACAACAGATTGCTAAGTTATGTGAGGTCTTGTCGACAGGAACAATAGCAAAGTGTTGTTGAAGGTGTCTCAAAGCCCTGTGCACTGAGTGAAGAGAGTGCGGTTCTCGTGTAGTAATATGGGGGGATGAGATGTTGCTTTGGCAACGTGTGAGAACAGCTGAGCGCCACTACTGCAATTTGCTCAGAGCGGTCGGCCGAAGCTGCTCGGGGACCGACCTCAGGTATTTAGCAATATACTCGTCGAGGCCGACTCTAATAGCCTGAAGCACATCAGCGATTTGTCCATTAAGACGATACTTTGAGCCTTCATGGAACAAGTCGCAGAGGCGATCATCAGGAATGATATCGCAGTTGGCTGTAACAACATGGTCGTCGACTAAGTGTGAGCAGTCAGGAAACACTTTCCGGCATTGACAGTCTGAGGGGTCAGGCAGGGAGATATCAGGTGTGACGTTGAGCGCAACTTCTATGAAATTAGAGAATTGGACGCAAGTTGGCGGCAACAACTTATCACAGATACGCAGGTGTGCTGCGGCATCAAGGTCAGGGTGCAAGTGGAGCACCTGGGGTGCATGCAGGGCTTGTCGCATCCCCGTTACTTGAGACACCTCGTGCATGTGCACAACTTTAATATGATCAAGGAAGGCATCTCGAGACTGAGATGTGTATCGCTGGCGGACATGTTGATACTTCCGAATCAGGCATTCAAGCTGACGGATATGCGCAGTCATATCTGCATTGGAGATATTATTGCTCAACCACTGCAGCAAGCGGGCACGCCAAACTGACGTTGCTTGCTGGATGACAGATTCCATCTGTTGCGAATTGCCAGCAACAGCCTGTGAGAGAAGATTGTGCAATGCAGACCGGACTTGAAAGTCAGGGCCTGGACGCAAATCAATAGGTTGGGGTTGTTGATGGTCTGACGGACGAGGGTCTGTCTGTGTCCACCGATGAGGACGACGTTGTCGTCTTCTTGCAGGCAGGCGAGCAAGCGGTAGGACAGCGTTGAGACCAGCTGGATGAAGAGTCCGCAACCGGCGTACCCAATAGGCTTCCCGGCCCGTCGAAAAAGGTTACGGTCAACAAGACCTTGCGGTGTATGGTAAAGGGACGGGTCAATACGTTCCAAGGGCCAGACTGYAAAATTGAAGGGGTTTTGACAAGACATGACACTGTAGAGCCGGCGACGCCGAAACTCCGCAGCAGAACGACGAACATGCCAATGTTCCTGCAAACGTTGATGCRAGGAGTGCATAGTCTGACCTATGTAAAGACGCCCAGAGGGGATATGAACGATGGCATAGATCACTCCCCGGACAAAGAGAGGGTCCATACCTGATTGCAGTGCCTGTTGATCAATGCCTCTCAGCTGCAATTCGAAACGCTCTGTTTGAATCGCCATGTTAAGTTGTTGCAACTGACTCTTGCGCCAAGTGCCTGCAGAGTAGAGGTCAGTATTCCAGCGAAGGTGCCGAATCCAATCAACACGGCGTGTGGAATCAACATGTAGCTGAGGTTGGGAGGAAAAAGCAGAGAAGAGTCGATGATTATTATGAGAAACTATACCTAAAGTAGTGTCGACAGGAAATATTCCAAGAATTCCCTGATCCACCGTGTCTAATGCAGTGTCAACAGGAAATCTACCAAGGATTCCCTGACCTATGTTGCCTGGAACTACGCCTACCATGCCAGTAGTAGGAAACTTCCCGAGAATCCCCTGATTAATCCTTTGTGTTGAATTCATTTGTTTAAAAGTAACGTTTATTTTTTTGAACTTTTTCATTTTTTGGTCAGAGAAGAGACGAAGAGGTGCACAGAAAGGCAGGGTTTTAGGCGCGGCGGCCAGTTCGGGAACTGATCCTGCCGCCGTCGTGTTCGTATGGTATTCACCATTAGCAGTGAGCCAACAGAATGTTGGTTCATGTATGACTCTGCATCCCCCGGTGAGTGTGCCGTGACCTTGTGTGATCCAATGTGATTCTAGTGCTCACAGCCTTGCACCGACAGACCAACAGTGTCAGTTCAGCAAAAGCAAGCCAACCTGTAGGCTTTATTAATGTGTGAGGATTACACGAAAGAGTGCGATACGAAGAGGTGAGATGGGCATGGGGGCT